GCACAGAAAAAGGTGCATCAGTTATGGGAGAGAGTCTTTTGAATCTTGTTTAGATGTGACACACACAGTTCTCAACTCTAGGAGCATTTATCCTCTCTCTTTGATATTTCCAGAGCTTAATTGTTATCATTATACACTAGTGCTTCCCAAGGCCTGAAGTATTTAATGAAGACCAACACAGGCTGAATGAGATAAAAAGGGATTTTGGTTCCTTTGAGAAGAAAATCCCATCTCAGCCTGCTCTGAGAAGCCAGTACTATCCCCTCCCTTTCCAGCCAGGGCAGGCTGTTCATGGTTTGCAATTCAAAGCAAAGAGACCATCCAGAGGCTGCAGGCCCAGGCAGTGATTTCCAGAGCAAGCCCACAGATTGCTGCTGGTTGTGCAGGAGCTAAATTGAGCACACGTGTATCAGACAGCTGCAGCTTTGCCAGTTTATTGCACCCAGAAAAGCCACACTTGGAGCACGCAGAGCTCCCCAGGCGATCGTGTGCCATGCTGGGTCATTTCCTGTGGCAGAGGCTTTTTCCATGATTACTTTGTAATTGTACTCTGTGCCTGTCATTTTGTGACTTGCCAGGCAAGGCTACGGATGGAGCACGTTCATTTGAAACATTATTCTTCAGATTTGGCAGAGAGATGACAAATTTTTAGGGAAAAACCAGAAAGACTAATGGGAAATAATCTCCTCTTTGCAGGAGGTCTGAATTCTTCCCTCTCCTTCTCTGAAGGTCAGTGTCTATCACGAGCCAGCTGCATCACAGCTCCATCAGAACATCTCTCTTGTTATCCAGCTTCATTATGGTTCCCATTGTCTCTTGCCTTCCAGGACAATGTTATACTGCACTTGTGAGGGAACCCTCACAAGCAAACTTCTTGGGGCAAGGAATAGCCCTGATAAAAAGCTGTTTATGTGCAATGAGAAGATGCCTACCTCGAAATCACCCTGCAGTTTTCCTCTGTGCTCCATTATAAATGCGGCAGCAGGCAGGTGAATCCTGCTGGTTAACAGAGAACAGCTTTTTGCCCCCTAAAAAATTGTTGAGTCCAGCGGTTTAGAAGGAAAGCACCAATTATCTGCTATCTCAGGAAACTGAGAACAAGCAAAAGTGCAAGGCATTTCACACCAAATCTACAGGGCCTAAATGTGAGCAAGAACACCTTGAGCTCCTGGGGCTCAGCACATCTGCCAATAGAAGTAGTAGTACAGGGACTGATTGGACCATTTTAGTGTTTAGTGGTAATTTTGCAGAAAATGCTCTGTGCTGAAGATGTTTTCCCATTTGGGTTAGCATAGGAATGCTCTGCTAAAACACTGAACGTGAATGATATTTTTAACTTAAAATGGCTGCTCAAAATACAAGGAAGAGTGTAGCTAATTAAGCCCCTGATCATTTAAAATTAGTGTATGTGGCTCAGGGAACATAGCCCCTATCAGTGAGAGCAGAGCACTTGGCTAAAGGCATGTCTAAGAAGAGGTGCTATAGAGGGGAAGAAAGAGCTCTGTAGACTTTTCACCTCCCATCTCCAGAAGAAAGCTGTGCCTTTCTTGTGTTAATATTGATATTTTTCTAGTGTCTTTGATTTGCTATGGAGAAGAAACAAGAGATAACAAACACAAAATCTTCTACAGCTTCAGTGTCCTACTTTCCAGCTCTCCCCTTTTCACTGATCACCTCTATGGAGTGCAAGGCATATCTTTTACTCAAGGCCACAGCAGATCAAAAACACTCAATATGTTATATATATGTTCAGTTAGGAACTTAAATTAGGTTTCAATTTGATGTGGAGGGTGGCAGAGTTAGGTTTTCTTCCCTGCACAGTCCAAGGGACAGAGCAATTGGTGATGGCTCTTTATTCTCACGTCTTGCCGTCTTATAGACTGGATCCCTGACTTGGTGACACTCAGCAGTGACATCCCACCAAAAATGAGTCTTCTTAGTGTCACAGTCTGGAGTCCTACTTTAAAGAAAATAAAAAAAGGGAAAACACTTGTTAAAAAAAAGCATACAGCTGAGAATTTTAGGAGGGTGATCCAACCCCCTGCAGCCAGAGAAAGAGACTGTCATGACTCTTAACTCTGGTACTCTGGCTCAGACCCTAAATAGCTGAGGTCAAATTATTCACAGAGAAGGTGAGTGATAGGTTCCAGACCCTCAAGTCAGGCTGCCTACTGGCATTTTCTCTCTGTAAAAATAAGTAGCCTTTCTCCACTTCTAACAAAAATCTCTTCCCTGGCTCTCCTTGACGGTTCCCCCTCCTGTCTCCACCTCCAGAGATGTCTGAACAGTATAATTTCCTTTTATTTTTAGCCATCTTTCATAATTGAAAGTATCTCTGTGTCAAATAGAAACTGTTCCCATGAATTCCTCAACAGGCACTTACTGCAAGCAATTGATGAAAATGAAATATTTAATGGGGTTTTATACCTGTGGACTTGGTGACACTGGTGCATCTCAAGAGCAAAACTGTAATGACATCAGGATGGATGGTCTTGAGGCCAATCACCTCAGCAGCTTCAGTGGTGCTTCTCTTTTGGGGTGAGTATTGGGTCTGGCCTGGGGGGTGTGGGAGTCGGTGGCAGCTGAGCTTTGGGAAGCTGTGGCTCCTCCTGACCCCAGAGTTTCCAGCTCTTCCTACTGAAGATCCAGCAGCACTGCCTGGGGTAAAGCTGATGTTTCTCACTTGTCAGCAGCATGTGACTGCAGTGCTCTCCAGAGATCCAGCCATGCCCACAGGCAGCTGTTCATCTCATCTAAGGTAAGAGCCACCTGGAATCAGATGCAGAGTCCAGCGAGCCCCGTTCCTTCTCTTGCAAAGTGACCAGAGCAGATACCTCTGGAAGAAGACAACACAGGAGCTCCTTCAGGAGGTCTCCTGCATACTGCTGCCCACCCACACTAGTTTGCACTCAGGATCTTCCTGAAGCATTTGCATTTAATAGTCTTTGAAGGATTTTTCTTCCCTGGATTTGTTCACCTCTTCTCAGGCCAGTTCTGCGCTCCCGTTTTGATGCTCAGGGAGACAGACACTGCTCCTGCTTATCCTCAGCAGCTCAGATGGATTTTGCCTTGGCCTGAAGAGCTGCAGCAAGAGCATTTCAAAGACAGTGGAGGAGCAGAAACAGCCCCTCGCTGGCACACAGTGAGGCAGGAGTTGATTCAGTTTAACGGAGCTACTGAAACCGACCCTGAGGATCCGAGATTTTAATTGCATCCACTTCCCAAATCAAGCTCTCTCTAGTCAAACTCTCTTGTTGTGACTCACCCCTAGCCCAGAGCCAAGATAAAGGAGACAAGCCTCACTTCTCTCTGCCCTTTCTCCTTTCCTAACCAGCTAATAACATCTCCTTCCTATGTACCCCCTTCTGGGCTGCCTCTCCTCACCGTTGAAGTGTCACTGTTCTGTCCCAAGCCACCTTATGCATCTCACATCATCCTGGTGGAAAAGGGCGTGAGAAATCCTGTTGTGTCCTTAAAAATAAGGAGGTAGGACCCACCTTCTCACTGCTGCCCCCAGGCAGGGGTATCAGCCTCAGGAGGGTCTCCTTTGCTGCCTGTGTCAGTCCCTCATGGCTTTCTGTTGTGAAAGCTGTGGAAGAGGGTTTTCAGTGTACTGCATCTGTTTGGGAATCAATGACACCACTGGAATTTATGAATCATAACTAATCACGTTACCAGGTACAGGGAAGATTATACGATGTGTGATCTAATAACTCTGGGCCGTTTAATCACCTGTGGTTGGTTCTGAGCACGTTGCATGACAGGTAACAAAACTGACCTTTTAAGGTGAAACCACAAAAGGTGTTTCTTTCCCAGGTCTTTCCTCGCTTGGCTTGGCTACAGCATCCCTGCAAGTAGCAGGACCTCCTTGCCTGGTCAAGCAGGTGGGACTGTTGCCCACAGGTGTTGTCACATCTGAGAGGAATTTCCCACTGGGATTTCTGAGGCACTTTCAACAGCAAGTGAAGGAACTGAGTGTGAATTTTGCAAGATGTCCGTAGATGCCCCGAAGCCAACATGGCCTCCAAAGGAAGCTGGGAAGGTTCTGCCATCCCAGAGGAGACGTGGCTGGGGCTGTAATCCAACCCTGCAGTTTATGTGCAGATGAGCTGTGTAGGGTGAGAGTGAGCAAACCCATGCCATTTGTGCATCACTCATTCACCCCTGTCCCCCAGCCCCAGTCAAACGCCTATATATCTGCTGTGTGAACAGAACTGCATTGAATTGCTGAGATAAATTGCAAACAATTGCCTGGGTGATGTTCACCCTTGCAGGGGTTTTTGTGACCAAGCAGGGTTTTTCTGGGTAACCCCCCGCTCTGCCCATGCTCTGGCAGCAGCTTTCCCAGACAGCCAAAGCACAGCTCCTGCTCTCGAACGCCTTCCCCGCGGCCCTTGGAGTGGTTTCAAGAGAAAAGCGAAACGGCGACATTTTAAGCATTGCCTCCCACGCAGTGTCTCTCTTCAGCCTCCATTCCCACTTGCCGCGAGTTCAGAAGTCTCTGGTGGATCAGTCTACCCCCGGAAAACTGTGGGCTTGCCAAAATAGAAGCATTTTTGCAGAAGGCAGTGATTTGGCTGAATGTTTTGCCAGCACATGTCTCTGGGGCTTGCAATTTGTTTCAGCATTTTGTGTTTTTATTTTATTTTGGATTTCGTTTTCTTGTACACAATACTACCAAAACAAAATATTTTAATGTTTGCAAATAATTTTTGGGGGGGGTTGGTGGTGGTGGGGAAAAACGTGATTTTCAAATACATTTTGCAGTGCCAGGATTCCCTACCCAGCACTAGTCTCATTTTGCTGTCAGCTCACAGCATCAGCTCTGGTTACATAGAAGTCACTGTGAAAGGGCCTGAACGCCTTTCTCACTAATATGCTTTACTTTCAGGATGGTGAATTATTTAAAATGCTTTCTATGGCTTTAGTCTGTCCTAAGTCCCAGTCTCATATTTCGTTAATGTCAGTCTCATAATCGATTATTTCTTTTCTGGTGGCAGCTGGCATCTCCTGTCAAGGACCAAGGTGCAGTTGATATCCTCCTGGCTGGTGATGGAGAGCAGAGCTGGGGTGATGCACTAATTCAACCAAAGCTGGGGACGTCTGTGACCTTCACAGCCGAGGGTGAGTTGGAGGAGAGCAAAGCCAAGAGCTGAGTAAAGAAATTACACAAGCCAGGTGAAGCAGACACTAGGATTGGGGTGGACTCTAGGCAGAAAGTGTGGCACAAAACAAGAAAAGTTCTTTCAAGACAATAGGAAGCATTTTAATTTGAAATGCCTCTGTTAATGCTGTTTTCTGGCACCTGGGAAAACTACTCAGCAGTCATAGCAGGAAAAGAGAGTGAAGAATAACATGTCCAGCGGAAATTCCTGCAGCTCTTGGCTCAGCAGACCAGAATTGGAGATTGGAGCCTGCTCAGGACACTGGAGCTAACACCTCCACCCTTACAAGAGGTGGAATCTTGGGTGACCACAAGTGGCAAGCTTGGGATGTCATTAAAATAGCAACACCTGCAGCAGTGCAGAGCCCTGAACTCCCTGCTGAGGAGTTTCATCGTGCTGCTGACTTAGAGGGAAGATGCCACCTACTGAATCACCCAAACCACTTCCTGCAGCACCTGGTTTTTCCTCACATCTTCTATTCAAATAGTGGCTAGACCCATGTGAAAAATGCTGGATCTGCACCACACACTGCCATTGGGATGGATGTAGGAGGAGGAACATACAGAAGGAGTTACACCTGTGCCCATGCCATGGGCAGAACAGGAGCATGTTCCATCCTGGAATGCACCTCTCCAGCACTTGGCCTAGACCAACCAGTGGCCCTTGTTCCTGGATGTGGACTGGAAGACAGGCAGAGACATCTCTTGTGCTGGCTGGAGCCTTCAGCAGGGAGGAGCACTGTGGCCCTCTCAGGTGCCTGCTTGCTCCTCAGCTTTCTCTTTCTCAAAGACTTCAAGAAACTGCAGAGATTCTGTGATTTTTCCTTTTTCCCTTTCTTGAAAACGTGGCTAAAAATAGAGCATTGAAACCAAGCCCAGCCCAGAAAGCAGAGTGTGTAGGTGTGATGCAAACCAACACCTGGGGCTGTGAAGCGTCCTGGGGGAGCTGGCACCCATCTGGCAGACGTGTTCTCTCTTTCTCCTCATTCTTTCTTTGGCACCTTGTCAAAGAGCACAGGAGATGCTGAACCTAAAGTAATCTTGTGTGAAAATAACCTACACACGTTGTTCCGGTTACGGGAAGAAGAGAACAAGGAGAGGACAACAGTTTTCATTTGCAAAACTGTCTGGGACCCCTGAGCTGCTTCTGTGCTCTCCAATTTTATTTCCTGGCTGAAGGTTTCTAGAGGTGGCTGGTAGAAAACAGTGATGGCAGGTACTGCTCTGAGGTGGTGGGTCAGGATATCTCTGAGGTGTGAACAGGCCAGCAGATGACATGCAGTGCACTGGGGTGGTTTCTTGGACAGCACTGGATGCCACAGGGGAAGGTTCAATAGAAAAGAGCTCCTCCAAGTGTCATGAAACCATGGAACCTGTAAGGAAGGCTGCTGTAGCAGTTGTCTCCTCAGTTACAGGTTTTCCATGGGTGCACAATGTGGACATGCCAGTCCCACAGAGCACCCCTCGCTCACACCCTCCCAGCAAGAGTGTGGGCAGGTCTTGTGGGTGTGATGGGGAGACACAGGTCTGCCCTAGAAGATGTGGGGGATTTGGGGGGTCTTTGTATAGAGAGAGAAGCCATAAAACATGTGTGTGATGTTACCATAGTCATCCCAGAAGACCTGTGCCTCCACCCTGCCAGAGCAGGGGGCACTGGGGCAGGATGGGCATTGACATGTAAATCCTTACACAGCCTAAGGACTGCAGTTACCACGGAGGAAGGGCTGTGGTGGACAAACATGGACTTAGTGCCATTTGTAATGCAGTGGAGACTGGTGTTTGGTACAAGGAGAATTTGCCCCTCTTGGGTGCAGTAAATTGCTTGGTAGTGCCATGACCTTGTGGCAACTCAGATGCTCCCTCTGCATGGCCAGGAGGGGCTGGGTGCAGCCTTAGGGGTGGGAGAGTTACCCTGGGGTTTGGTGGACAAGGGTGGCACAGGCAGGACAGTGCATGTACAAGGTGAGTTTTATGAGCCTGCATTGGTCTGCAATGCCCTACACAGGGACACCTCTCGGGCACAGCACCCCAGATACTCCAGCAACCTGAGAGGCAGTAATTCCCCTTTCCTCCCTGCCATCCCCAACACCTCTGGTAGCGCTGGAAAATGGTAGGAAAGCAAGTATCCTCAGAGCAAGCCAACTCAGAGAGCTGTGAAGCTGGAAAGAGGGCTGTGAAAATCCAGGTGGGAACCAACCAGGCTGTGCTTCCAATGGCAACTTCCCAGAGATGGGCTTCCAGGGACAGTCTGGCTGGTGATGCCTGTGGGCACCAGAAAAAAAAACAACGGCATGAACATGTCCAAGACCCTGCATTAAACTCCCCTCCCCTCCCCTCATGCACCACCCTTGCTGGTGTAAGTGCATGGCTGGAAGCCGTTTATTCCCTACCAGCCCTTTCCTGCTTATCTGGAGCCAGTGGCAAGAGCAGGAGCCGGTCTCACAGAGGGACCCTGCAAATCCTGGGATGAACGCCCAGACCAAGAGCTATTTCCCAGGGGGATCGGGGTGGATTGGGTAATTAATCACAGCTTGTCTGGGGGAGGATGAGGAAGTCTGAATAAAGGTGTTAACGGCTCTTAAAGGCTTTCCTGGTTCACAGAGGGTGCTGCCTCAAACAGATTATCTGGAAATATTATTAGCTGGAGTGGGAAAGGTCTTTTTTTCTCCTCTAGGTTCTTTGCAGCCACCCTAAATCTGCCTGAGCTGTTGAGACAGGTTTTATTGTACAGGGGGAGGTGGGGGAGAGGTGTTGGCTGTCAGTGGGTCAGCAATTAATTGGTTTATTCCTTTCTCACGGTTATTTTCTGACCAACATCTGCTAAAGCCCCAGTGCCCACTTTGTCCCAGCTCAGCAAACAAGAACCACGGGGATTTGCATGAGGGGACCCCAGGCCACGAGGTTGGCTTTGCAGGGGCTGCCCGGAGGTCCCTTGTCCTGCCAAGCCTCTTTCCCTGTTATCTGGTCTTAGGAGGAGGATGTGATTAGTGCTTTGTGCCGTAGGATGTCAGCTGAGGGATGAGAACCGCGTGCCAAGAGGAAGAAAGAGCTGCCACAGATGGATGGTAAGTGAAAACAGAGACCTGCCCCCTTTTCTCCAAAGGAAACTTTCCTTCCAATGTCTCCACGGCCCATCAGTTCAGACAAATGCTGTTTTCAGCCCCGTGCTTCTCTCCTGGCAGAAGTGACCCTCAGCCACGTGTTTCTGGGTGAGGGTGGGCTCTCCTCCATCTGCTGCTGCCAGCTGGGAAATCATTTCTGATTGATCCAGCTTAACTGAAGTGCCATTCCTGTTTACCTGTGGCTTTGTTACAGTTCTAGGAGCTCAGAAACAGAGGGTGCCATCAAAGCAGAAACCTTGTGCCCTGCCAGCTCCAGCTCAGCCCAGTCTCTGCCCCAGCTCTGCTGCTGTAAATGAGCTGCAGTGGGTGCTGGGGCTGTGCTGGCACAGCTGTGCCAGGCAGAGGGGGCTCACTGTGAGCATCACCAATGGCTCCCTCATAGTAATTGCTCTGATAGTGCTTCTGAGCTGGGAAATCACCTTTTAGACCAGAGCAGGGCTAGAGAAAGAACATGGCTTTGGCCATGAAGGATTTTGATAGCTGCAGCTTGGCATCATTTTGGCTTGGAGAGAAAAACATACATTTTGAGTCCTACAAAGGTGATGGAGTGATGAGTGTGAAACTGCTGTGCAGGGTAGTCCACTCTCTACTACACCTTTCTGGCCTCCCCAAGGCCTGCTGGGCAAGTGAGAAACCCCCTCCATGAGAAATTAATTGGAAATCACATCATCCACAGGGAACATTTGCCTATTGCAGTGCTGCTACTTCTCTCCCAGCTCTCCCTATATATTTTATAAGCATTAGGCACTCTGAGCAGAGTCCCGTGGGCTGCTTTCTTCGTGGTTGCAACGATTTCCAATAACTAAGGTAGCCCCAGAGAAAGCATAATGAAAGCAGCAGATTTCCAGGTCTCTCTTTTTCCTTTACAGAAGGCCATCCCTTTCACACACGAAGCACAGCGAGCCCAAACCGGATCCCCATTCTCCATGGGGATCAGCCTGCAGGGATGATGAGAGAAGCAGAGTGAGTCCCCGGCCCTCTCCAGAGCTGGACTGCAAAACCACAGGCTTCAGCAAAGCCTTTTGAGCCAGCCCACCTCCCAGCAGAGTGACTGTCCCTTTCTCTCGACTCGGAGCTGGAAATAATGACAGGTACGGAAAATCCATTACCAATAACGAAATAACCCTCGGTGCAGCACTGCCGGCTCCATGAGCGCTTCCCCAGCTGTGGGGAGACCACAGGAGCACTCCCTGGAGTAAGCAGGCACAGGTGGTGCTGGCATGTGTCTGGAAACAGCCCAAAGGTGGGGGGAGCCTGAAATGCCTGATGTTCTGGACCCTTCCCCCCTGCCATGGGGTGTCTCATCAAGCCCTGTGTTTCCAGACAGCCCGATATCAGCCCCAGGTGGGGCAGGGATTCTGGACTCAGTGGTGGCAAAGCAGAGAGAGAACCCTGTTTCCTTGAAGCGGAAATGTAATTTTGTGTTAAAATTGCTTTTTCCTCCCAAAAGGTCCTTAAGCATTCCCTAAGCTATTAAGAGGCAGAGGGGGATCTGGCTGTCCTGCCTGCAAGACAGGGGTGGGTAAGAGGGGAAGGAACCAGGCTCTGCCTGGGTTGGCACTGGTGACCAGCACCTTAACCGTGGGAAGGGAATGTTGGCCAAGGGCTCCAGTGAAACCCTGAAGCAGCAGATATTGCTGAGTAGCTCCTACAGGCTCATATTGAACCCAAGAGCTGTGTCCACACCAACATGTAAGATTTTTCTCCAAGGGTTTCTCAGAGAGCATGGAGCAGGCTGGAACCAGGAGAGGGACAGGCTTTCTCATTTTGGACTGTTGTTACCATGTAAAGTAAATCAGAAAGCAAAGGGTCAGTGTTTCTGGTCTGCATGCAAACTCTGAACTAAGTCAAGCTCTTTCTTGATCCAGTATCCATTTCCTTCTCGAAGGATGTTTGTGGGGAAGGAACTCAGCCATGTGGTCAGCAGGGGTGCACACTGAACCTGACGGTGCTCGATAAAGGCAGATTGATGCTCCCAGGAGGAGCAACTGGACAAGGGGCTTGTCGTAGGCATCTTCCCCTGTGCTCCTTGCTTCCCTGCAGCCTTTAATTCTGCAAAGCACTTTGGATTGTAGCCACTGGGACTGAATGGATGTACCTGGTAGTCTTGTGTTGCCCACTGCAGCAATAGATATGCATAGGGTGCATGATGGAGAAGAGACCAGCCACTTGTTCTCATCTTGAAAAGCTTCCCGTTGCCAGGGAAGCACCAGGGCTCACACCCCAGCTTATGTGTCATCAGTAACTCTCCTGCTGTTGAAATTGCGTTGTCTCTCTTAATCACGAAAGGCTTATTTTCCCACACTGGAAAATGAATTCAGCACCACTGGCAAAGCTGGGGGCTGAGAAGTTTTAATTACTATTTGTACATGCTCTGGGGCTCTGGGGTGAATGGTGCTGGAGGCCTGGGAAGGGTTATATTATATATTATCAGTTACTTATGTTTTATTATATATGTGAGCTCTGTGGTCTTGCCTCTGTGGTCTCCTTCCTGATGCCTAAGATGCAGTGGGGCTTCCTAACTCAAGCAGTACAAATCCCCACCTCCTGTCACTGTTACCCCTGCTGAGCATCACTGCAGAGTAAGAGGGAGACCTAGAAAGTCCGGTGTCCACCTACAGCCAAAATAATCTCAACCAGTGTGTGCCTGTAAATACCCACCTGCTACACAGGGAAGAAGAACCCTGAAGCCCTTCTCTCACGGGGCTTTTCCCACTAAAACCTCTTTTCCTTAGGCAAGGCAGCCACATCCTGCACTGACCTTCCTGTGCCCTCCTTGTTCAGAACAACACCTCCTTAATTATAATCCATCAAATTCCTTTTTCCTCTACCTGGAAAAAAAATGGGATTTGGGGACAAGGAACAAATACAGAGTCATAAGTCTCTTTTCATGGGAAAGGAAATCAATCCAGCGCCCTGCTGGGAGCCCTGCTTTGCCTAAACCCTGGCAAAATGCAATAAGAAGTTAAGGCTCTTAGCGGGCGAACATTACTAGAGCCCTATTAAGCACAGCTCAGGTCTTTGTGGTCAAGTGTTCCCTGCTGCCCCCGGCACTCCACGTTTTACACAACGGGGCGATTGTGGCCGCGCCGCTCTGGCATCGGCACCCTGCGAGTACCCACCGTGGGCTGAGGAGGATGGGCTGCTCAGCAACCCCACAGGGCAAAGCCAGTGCTTTGGAAAAGGATTCTGCAGAGAATAGGAGTGGTTTTGATGTTGGCAATGGCCTGGAAAAGGGACACATTAGCTATCAGTTAGCATGTGTGCCCACACGTGTGCAGCTGTAGGCATGTGATGGTGTCTAGGCTTGTGATAGCATCCACATGAAAATCAGGGAGACAATATGATGACTTTGACCTCAATTTTTCATTTCCACAACCCGTCCCCACCACCCACTCACCCCACATTTGTGTTTTGGTGGCAGAGTTGGTTTTCTGACAGATACTTCAGAAATATTCCACTGATTATGGCAAAGGGGTGAAAATGGAGTGACTTAAAATTTGCCAAAGCTTCTCAAATGCAAAATCCCCCTGCTTTCCCTCTCTAGCCAGCTGTCACCTCGTGGTTCCTCCTGAATGGTGGCCCCTAGGGTGGCGGGCAGCCCCTTGCTGCCTGTGCCAGGCATAGTGAGCAGGGCAGAGAGCCCAGGCAAGGCCCCAAGGTGAGTACAAAGCCTGAGGATGACAGCACTGCAGTCACCACCCATTGTCAGACTGCTTCCCATGTTTCCCTCACAATCTAGGACAGGCAGAAGGCAGGAGGGCGTTAGCTGAGCCTCTGTGCCCCTGATGCTGCTGTCAGGAGGGTTTCATTTACTGCCAGGTACATTATGGCATCTGCTAGGTGGCTGCTGGGTTGAGATCTGTGGCTTTCTTGGGGCAGTTGGTTCTAGGTCCAATGGGTTACCATGGCCACATCACTGAAATCAGGCAAGAAATGTATCCACCAGTGCTTTCAGCAGCACCAGAGGGTGTCAGGGTGTGATGGAGCCAGCCCAGCCCCATGCCTGGGAAGGACAGAAAGGAAAGAGTGTAAACAGTCCGACTCACATCCCTCCAGCACTATCCCACTGGTGAGCAGATGTCAGAGGAATGTATTTTGCAATAGCTTTATTCAGTCTGGAGTAACTCCTGTTCTCTCTCTTTCAGGATACTCCTCTCTGCAGACCCGCCCGACAGAGAGCGGGGAGGGATCCACTGTGAAGCCCCAAAACCAATCTTGAGGAAGAAACACAGCTTGCCTCCCATCTTCCACCCCTGCAAACCCAAAGGGAGGGACTATCTGTGGATGTCCCTTTGGTCAGAATCCTGGGCAAGGCAGCACCCCTGGGTGCTCAGCAGTCTCTTTGAGGAGGTTCTGTTTAGGCTGGCTACTGCTGATCCCAGCCTGTCCTCAGCACACAGATGCTTTTAACCTCTTGAGGAGGGGTTGGAGTGGCCAGCAGCTGCTGAGGACATTGCCACAATTCAGCCATGTGCCTGCTCAGGACACAGACTGTAAACACAGTAGGGAATCCAGGCCATAGCCCAGCCCAGCCTGGCTGCCTGCCTCAAGTTCCCCATCGCCCAGAATTTGGAGCTTGCCTCTTTTTCCATTACCTCTAAGCAGAAATGGTGAATGTTTCGGTAACTTTTCCTAAAAATAAAAATGTCAACAGAAAGAGCCATTTAATGACATGAGTCTGTGCATCTTTGGGCCCTGGGCAATCAACAAGCTGAGAAGAGAAATGCTGAAATAGCTCATGAGTTTGAAGGTACTCTGAGAAGGTTCTTTACTGCCCGTGGATGCCTTCACCAGCATCACCTGGGGCAGGAGGGCTGTTTGAGAACTGTTTTCCTTCCCTCCCTAGGCAAATAGCCAATTTTCTCCAAAACCAGTCCATCTGTCTAATACTCTGCTTGATGCAAAAGCCTGTGTCTGAAAAAAAAGGCAACACAGCTTGTGTGACCAGGCTGAGGTGCCTGTGGTGTGTCAGCCTGGGGACTGGGTACTGCTCCATCACTTACGTGGGGTGTTATGGCTTTCTTTGGGAAAGAAGTCAAAGAACATAGGCACTCTGTTAGACAAGGCTTTGCTAAGCAGGAATGCATAAACTTGGTCCAGCCTATAATAGTCTTAAATGTCAGGGACTGGTTTTTGATGCAAAACTCAGGAACTGTCTTGACAGCAGCACAGGAGAGAAATTGGAGAGCAAGTACTTTGTACATCCTTTTGGGGAATGAGTGGATGAATTAGGGTATAAAGGTAACACAATTAACTCCTTTGTGCAGCTCAGGTAATGTTAAACCCCTGCAATTCAGGTTTTTGGGGAATGACCCTACTTGGTATCCTTGCTTGCCTTCCTCAAGCCCTAATCTGTACCCATCCAGATCTGCTCCTTTATAGGAGACAGGAACAGGAGCTTCTCCCAGCCAGCTGAACATGGATGGTGGATGCTCAGGTAATTAAAGAACTGGTACGAGCTGCATTAACCCATCTTCTGTGCCCCATCTAATTTGGCAGGTCTGATGGATGTGCTGCATGGTTACAGAGCCCAGTGCTCAGTACAGGAACAGGGCATCTGAGGACATCAGGAGGACACTGAAAGCCTTGTCATACAGCCTAAAGTCTCACAGCAAGTGTCTATTAATAAGCCATGCCCACGCTTCCTCCAGGTATTTACAGTGCCCTTTCTCCCTGTTAGCTTTGAAAACCACAGCTCCATTTTGACAGAGCAAGTCCTTTTCTTTTAGCGGTGCATTTGGTGCCACAAGTGCGTTTGGCTGGGGCTGTGCTTCGGTAAAAACCTACCTCACTTTGGGAAGTGAACAGGATTTCCCTCTAAAAGTGATCTCTGTCTCCAAATGAGCAGTTTCAACCTGTCCTCTGGGAGCCTCTCTGCTGTGGAGGTGGTGGCTGGCTGACTCTCATGCTGGCTGAAGAGAGGTGCCACCGAACCCACAAAATATGGAAGTGACAGCATTAATCCAGCCAGCAAGGTTGCCTTCCCCCAGGGCAGGTTTTTCCAGGTGAATGGGGGCAAGTGGGGATTCCCAGGTGCTCAGAAGGGGACCTTTGGAGGCTTGGCAGTGTGTGGGGACCACCAAAAACCCTGGAGGGTGGCTGGTTTCTTACCCTTGCCCAGGGCAGAGCTCCTTGTGCCACACTGACTCTTTGGCAAATGGGCCAAAACCGGCATATCTGCAAAATGGGGCCAGATGTCAACTGGGATGAGCCTGGCCTGTGAGTCAGGTTGGGCAGGAAAGGTAAGGAAAAAAGCATTTTCACCCCAGGGAAACAATGGGGATATGAAGTGGAAACTAGGACCTCTGAGTTCCTCTACCCTTCCCTAAGGAGGAGCTGTGGGGTGCAGAGGGCAGATCCCAAAATCCAACATCTGTTGTAACTCAGTTGTACCCCCTCTGAGAAATGTCTTTTTGCTGTTAGATGTGTGGTTGCTGCTGGAGTGACTCCCTTCTCTCCAGCTGGAACTGGAGACAAAGGAAAGAATCACTGGTAATGAGCTATTTATAGAGAAATTAATCTTGATACTTACATCACTAATACAAGGCAAGGCAGCACCACAACTTTCTTACTGTGGTTAAGGACAGCACTCGGAGGAGACTGAGAGCCTTGAGGTACTATGAGTGATAGGAGCACATTTCAACATTGCTTGGTTGCAAGAGAAGAACCCAATTTGCCTCACTGGAAAAGCAGCCATGCAGAAACCACAAGAACCCGTTGTTCTGGTCAGGCCCTTGGATTTTGTCAGGATTTCTTGAATACTCCTTCACAGTTAAAATTCCCACTGAGCTGTCTTGCTGTTTGCAAGGCTGATTGGGATTGGGATGGTGCAGGTAAGCTGGCACGCAGGATTGCCCTGAAACATCAAACTATATTCAATTAGCCCACCTTGCCTGCAGGAACATGGTTAGCTGGCAGCACATCACCCCTCCTGGTAAATTAGATATCACACAGTGGCTTAGTCACACCGGAGAAGTACATGGCTCACAACTTGCTGAGACAAATTTCTCCCAGCTTTAATTAGCCATGAGATGCTGGAGTGCCCAAAGCTTTCTCCCTGCCCGTGTTTACACTCAGTGCATCAATCCAGTTTGGACTGAGGTCTCCAAATATTTGCAGTTAGCAAATACTGCCGTGTTTTGCCGTTCCAGCTCTCTGCAATTAGCTGGAAAACATAGGTTTGTATCCCCAGTCTTTTCAAAAACAAAGAGTGGATGCTCAAGTCCCAGGACTTCAGCAGGAGAGCCAGCACTGCTCATCCAGCTTCTCTGCTGTGTGCTGGCTCGGTGTCATCCCAAAAGAGAAATGAGAGGAGAGGCTTGTGGCACCCTGAGGATGGAGCAGGGACCAAGCAGCAGGAGCTGCTAATATAAGTGAAGGATCACTTAACATTTAAGACTTGATTCTGACTTTGCTGTGTGTTTTTTACATTTAAGGACACTTTCCCCTTTCCACATCTCCTCCCCTCATGTTTCTCTTACCAACGTGATGACAGCCAGGGAACTGAGGTGTTTTCAAACAAGCCTCCATCGTTCTGATGGTGGCACGAAGATGCCCAGTCCAGCCAGCTCACACTGGCAAGAGCCAGGCTTGGCACTTCTTATCTGACAGCAAATGCACTCAAAACCTTAAAAACAATCTGCATTTTAACCTTGGTCATGTTAAACAGCTTTCAGGATGCAGTCATGCCTTTGCTGGTTACACAGAGCACTACTGGCAGTTGTTAAATAATTATGTTTAATTTGCAGTAACAAAGCACACGAAATCCATGTTGCATAAACTCCGCTAAAGGTAAGTGTCGCTTTTATATAAAAATGCACAGGGTTAATTTAAAGATTTGAGGTCTGCTGACCCTCCAGGTTGTTGTAAACCATTTATATGTGTAAAAATAGATGCGAGAGGCAGCCCAGGTGGGGTTTACATGTTCGTGCTGGCAGCAGAGAGCTGCAGTCGCTCTGCAGGGACGGATGGGTTTGAACACGCCTGGCACTGAGGCACGCGCTTTAAAACTTCCAGCTCAGAAAGACTCATCCTCTGTTCCAGAGGTGCTGTCTGAGCCTGACTGCCATGAGCCACGCCAGATAAGGGCTGCAATGCTTGCCTTTGTGTTGGCTGGGGGTGACTGTGGCACTGAGGGCCAGCAGTGGCTGTGGCAGTGACCACAGAGCCCTCAGCGGTGGCAGCGCTGCCTTGGCCCTGGCATGGTGAGGGGACAGCTTGGCTCTGGAGCAAGGAGGGGAAGAACCTGCTTGGCTCCCATAAATGATGCTGTTCTCCTCAAGCTAAAATGGAGCTTGAACTAATACTTTATTCCTCCCATGCAGACTCAGAAAATGGGAGCCTCGGTCTCTGGGCTGTTTCCTTTTGCCAAGCCTCTGCACGGCTCAGTTTTAGCAAAAGGTAAGCCCAGCCCCTGAGACATCTGTGGGGATGTGATGTTTGGTAATGGTTCAGCACATGTATTTAAGCCAACACAAGCAAGTGACAGGGGGAGCAACCCCATTGCACAGCCTTGTGGGTTTCTCACTGTGTTATAGCAGTGTGAAGGAACAGAGGGGCAGGAACAAGAGGTGGAGACAAGGTAACCCTGGTGTCAGGAAAGCAAAGGCCTGACCCTGTTAGCGTGGTCCATCATGGTGATTTGCTCTTTTGGACCCTCCATCCAGCATCAGGTCCAGCACCGTGGTGGGAGGTGCTGCCTGGCTTGTGTTGCCCCACCAGGTGCTGCTGCAATGGTCAAGCTTTGCCATTCATGTCGTGCTGCACCTTGGAAAGGCGTTCACTCTGTGTGGTGTTGGCTGTGATTCCTCGGAATTGGGAGGGTTTTCTCTTCTGCAATTATCAGAGTGGCTGAAAGGCACAAGCTCTGTAGTCCCTGGCATTTTGTCTTCCATCTGTCTCTGGGCTTGAAGAAGCCAAAAAGGGAATAGAGGATTGCATTTACCCCTTCTCCCAGCATAGGTTAGCAGAAGCAAAACTATAAATCAGGAGACATTTCAGCACTTACCTCCTGTTTTTACAGAAATCACTATACATTACAAGTGCCTTTGCATATTTTATAGCACTTTAAAAAGCCAATGTAGCTAATCTGGAAGCTGGCTTGTTCAGAGAAGCACAAAACATGTGCAGCCATAAAAATCCCTCATTTGATGTCAAGCTATTGCATTTTCAAGCATTTGAAAGGCAATCACTATTACGCATCCAAGGAGTTTGCCTTGACTCACCCCAGCTCCTCATGGTTGGTGAGAACAAAAAGATCAGCACAGCATCTTGAAAAGTTGTGTTGTTGCCGTACAGAGCAGATGTTTTGGTAGCAAAGGCAGCCTCTGTCCAAGGGCTCACCTTTAGAAGAGGTGCAAGGTGATGCCAAAAGGTTGGAGGAGTAATGGTCCTGGAGCAACTGGCATCTCTCTAACAGGGAAATGGGGCTCATGGGGATCTTGGGAGGCAAAGTGCTCTTCTGTCTCTGAGAGCTGGTAGAGAGTTGGATATTCATAAGTTTTCTCTCCTCCGGCTCTTACTACTACAAAATCTGTGGGAATTTGTTGGTTTCTGGAAAAGCTACCTTTCTGCCTACATGAATCAGAGGTTCAGCAGATATTTGTGATGCATATATAAGATATATAAGACGCATATTTTCATG